TTCTAAACTTGGTGTTTAGTTCAAATAGCTGTTGAGGAGATTTTTCCCCGCAAATGCTCATTGTGTTGCATAATGTTGCTATAAGACCCCTATTCAGTCATTGAATGTTTGTTCTAACACCTTTGCAACACCGCCACCTGTCTCATTGTTATAATAACTGCAACTGGTTAATTCTACCTTGCAGCATGCTGGTGAATTTTTCGAGATTTGGCAGCCTGGTCATGTGTGACATCGAATGGTGTGGCAAGTTGACTCAGAGATGTTTAAATGCTGCTGGTTGCGAGCAACAAAGGTTGTAGTGACTTTGCCTAAATGGCAAATGTGAAATTTCTCATGGTAGCGATGGCAGTCTCGAATTTAAAATTGCCACTCTTGGAAATTATACGCTTGTTGGCTGCACGTTATGTATGGTGGGTGCTGTGATCTGGGTTTCGCTAGTTAAATCTAGTGCAAATAGACTGTAGGCCATGGCCAAACTGATTAGAAGTTGGGGCTCAGCATTAGCATATTGTCCATTGTTTCTTTAGCTAAGCCTGATGAACTGCTGCACTTAAGTCCTGCTCTTCTAGTCTATGCTGCTTGATTCTTTAGGCCTTATCTGCTGCTGTATGGTCAATTAAATCCATCACGTGTCGTACAATATGGTTCTGCCAAGTGGCTTTGAAAAGAGGAAAAAGAAAGAGAAAAGCGCAGTCCCGTTACTGCTTGTTTTAATCGAGGGCACCGCCGCAGTTATGCGCAGGGAAGGGGGAAATGGGAATTAAAGAGACAGAAGAGAAGAGGTAAAAGAAGGGTAGTGAAAAGCATTCGCACCGCATCACGTAGCGTGCGTCCGAAACCGCTGCGGTGATCCGCAATCATCAGGAAAAGCCGCCGGGAAGGCCGGAGAACTAATTCACCGAAAAAGAAGAGGATGAGCCTAAGAGGTGCATAAAATGATGGGGGAACACACTCGCGTGACCACAAAGCGCAAGCACGAAAGAGGAATGAAAAAAGGGGGGGGGGGGGCGAATGAACGAAAGAAAAAAAAAATTTAGTTGAACGCACTGATGGGCGATACGCATGCACGTGGGCACGTAGCTCAGGGACGAAAGAGGAAAAAAAAAAGAAACATTGTTCCAGTTCAACGAGAAGGAAAAAAAAAAAACTGTTGAACTTACAGATTAGTGTCCTGTTGACCTTGGTGAAATAATCCAGTGGGGGCACAGAAGACTGGCAAGGGCGGATAGCCCGAATACGAGAGAGAAGGAAAAAAAAAGGAGTTCAGTTCAGCCAAAAAAAAAAGGAGGGAAGAAAAAAGAAAAGAAGAAAAAGGAAATAATGTTTAGCTGAACACACAGATGAGAGTTCCGAAGAACTCGATGTGTCAATCCCATCGCCCTAGTTCGCCAGAACGATTGCTTCATGCGCAGCGGTAGCCGCCACACACAGGCCACGAACCGGAGAATCAGGGGGCAGGAACACCATCACTGCGCGGATAGCCACTACAAGTGCGAACATCACCGCATCCCTCGGGTCTGCCTCGGAGTCGGGGCAATCCAGAGGAAGGGGGCGAAGGGGCACTCGTGCTTGCAGCAGGCGCACTGGTAGGAGGGCGAGGAGCAGGCACTGACGCCGATTGACGACCGGAGGCGACAGTGTACCGAAAGGAGCGGCACTGGACGACTTCCGTGCTGCCTTGCTTGTCGATGGTGTTGACAGCAGTTCTGGCTTTCTCCAGCGCTTGGCGGCGCGTCACAGGGCCATCCGAGAAGGCGATGATGACAGCGGCCTTGCGCTGAGTTTGCCAGGAAGGGCAGGGCGGTTCGTTAGCCGGATGTGTGCCACTGCAGTTAACGCAGCGGGGGCGCTCCGCAGGACATGGCGCTTTGGTGTGGCTGCCGCCGCAGCGGAGGCAGCGTTGGTGCCGCGAACAGGTCGCGGTAGCGTGGCAGAAACGGCTGCAGCGGGCGCACTGGAGGGGCCACGGCAGTCGATGGCGGACAGGCCGGTGGAGCTTGAAAAGAAACACTTCCGGTGGTATGGTGGTCCCCTCAAACGTGACGGTGACGCACCCGCCTCGACGTGCACACGAGAGGACCGAAACGGCTGAAACGATGTTGACCGCGATGTCAGCGGGATCCAGGTCCTGGTCAATGCCATAGATGAGTCCAACACACGTGTTGTCCGTGAATAACTTGGACTTGACGTTTAAGGAGCAGATCTGCCGAACATCGAGGAGCTCCGTGGGATCTGCTGCCGGTGAAATGTTGACGGCAACGAGGTTGCGTTGGAAGTTGACGCCGACCCGCCGGGTCGCAGTGAAACCAGAAAGGAACGCTGCGATTGAGTCACGAGTCAAGGCGAGGAAGTTGGCTTGCTTCCCCACGGGTCTGTAAATGATGGTGCCGCCGCGATTTCCCACAAATGTGGAAGAGAGGGGGGCGACACGCTCGGCCGCCTCCGCCGTATTTACTTTGGCGGCTGGGATGAGGAATGAGGTCGGAGGAGGGGCGGAGAAGCGGGGAGTAGAGACAATACTTGGCGCACCTGTCGTGTCTGTTGTTGCAGGCGACGAGGGAGGCGTCGTATGCTCCCATGAGGAGCTAGAGACAGACGAGGTGTCGGTCTCGGCAGATTCCGCTTGAAGAGGGGTGCCCTGAGTGGAGCGCTCTTCTTGCGCGCAAGATGGGGTCAGGTTGGTGGAATCCATAGAGCTTGTGATGAGGTGGTCTGTAGTGACCGGAGCCGCCGATTCAGGAGGCTCTGAGTGGGCTTGAAGTGGATTTTCCCCTGCTGTGGGTGTTGTCTGCTGCCTCTCTCTCTCTCTCTCTGCTGCACAGAGCCTCGATCGAAGAACTTGCGCAGCTGGGAGCGGGTGCGGCAGGCTGCAACAGAGCATGGGTCTTCGTCCTTGAGGATATCCCCTAGTGTCCGTTTAGTCGCCATGGTGAGCCCTGAAAAGGGCTGCACGCACGGAGACGCGAGACGGCGGCGCAAACAGTAGAAAGGCCGGTAAGAGCGAACAGAGAGACGTCCTTTCACGATGACCTTGTCGCTGTTCTGGTTCCATTTTAGATGCGGAGCATCTTATACTCGCGCCTTGTAGTGCGCCGTCCGCACCACTTCTCGAACATTCGACAGCTGACGCGCGCGCATGCGCCGTCGCGCCGTTGCCCACTCTTCCACCATCTGTGCATCCCTTCCTCCTCTACACACCGCGTTCGACATCTACAATTCTCCTGATTCTCCAGTGGACGCGCATGTGGCGTCGCGCTTCGAGAACATTCAACAGCTGACAGTGCATGCGCCGTCATGCTGTATATATACTCAAGGTCGGCGCTCGCTCGCTTAGTTGCCGCTCGTCGGTTGGTTTGTACGGCGCGTCGACGTCCAAGGTCGCGGTGAAATGAATTCCAACGAATCCACAAACACAATGATCGACGTCCCTTCGACCAGCGCCGCCCTTTCGCATACGTGTGTACGTGTTCACTCATTTAACACCCCCTCCTACAACCACATTAACCAATTTAGCCATCGACCCAAGTAAGTCGCAATTTAACACCCCATTTCACAACCACGTTAACCAATTTAGCCATCGACCCAAGTAAGTCGCACTTTAACACCCCGTTAACCAATTATATGGTCCGCATCCTCCTCAGTGTTCCCCCGAGGGAAGCTGCGGGCAATTTTTTTTTGTCATCTGCACTGCTGAGATCAATGAAAATGGTGGCAATTACAATACTCATGATGATGTAGAAAGCAGCTGTCTATCATGTGAGAGGTTGCCAACTTTGCCACTGTCGTCCTGCCCTGTGTTGACTTAGATTATGAGGAGATCGTTTGTCATATTTTTGTGCCGTTCCAAGTAGACCTTGACTTTTATAAGGATGTGCTGCCGTCCCCAAAACAGCCGACAGCAGAGATAGCACATGCGCTAACAATGATTTTGTCTATGTGTGATGGCAGTCTGTCAATGGTCCATATAAAGACTTAGCTGGTCACACTTAAGCATGCATGGGTACAGTATCGAAATTAGAAGTTTTTCTGGCGAGTGGGACAGTGGAGGTGCTTCATCCAGGTAAGTATTTTTCAGGGCTCCAAATTGTTTGGACTTTTCTGTGGCTCTTGTCGAGTCGTTATGAACAGTTGGCAACTTGACACCCTCGATGGTGTACTCTGTGGGTGCAAGGAAAAGCGTGAATTAACTAGGCACAATGTAAGCTGTCCCACTCATTCACATTATGTAACCAGTGAAGGTAGGGTGAGGTTGAAGATGGTGAGAAACGAGGTGGATGGGGAAACTACAGCACCTGTGATGGCTGTGTTATTGCTCAACATGGCAGAGAGCGTGGGCTGCCTAGTGTGGATTAGCTCATGGGCAACTTGCGATGGCTGGAAAGGAGTTATCTGCATTTGGTGTCTCCGTGCTGGTCTGGATATGCGCACAACTTCTAAGGAGCTCTGGAAGTTCCAAGAAGTGCCTGTGGTGTACGAATGTATTCATGTAACCATTCTGCCTCAAAGAAAGGCATGCGTTTGTCTCTTTAAAATTTAATCTGTTTTCACGCTACACAGAGCTGTCATCATTTGAATAGAAAATTGCCGGCACCAAGCAATTCACGTACCACAATTGTTTGATTGCAAAGGCCACCATACATTGTGAGGGCATTGTAAACAAAGAAGGGCTGCGATGTCTTGAAGGCCAACACAATATTATCACAACACTTCTATAACCTGTAAACCGAAAGAATGCACCCTGAAGCATTGGATGAAGCAGCTTCTCGTGGTGTAGACGCCTCAAAATTTTGTGCATCCATTGTCTAGTTTGTCGTATATATAAATCACTTCACAGAATTATGAACCGGGGAGGTTGATGCTTTATATTCGGTGACCAATTGCTTTATTAAGGTTTTGTGGTGGTCATTCTTTTGTGTACATATCTCAACTTGCATAAAAATGTATATGCTGTAGTTCTTTCTCGCACGTTATGTGAGTGTTAAAGCAGTCGAATATTGCAGGTCGTCAATGGTGCCTACCGGGGCCAAGAAGCTACCCTGCTTGAAGTGGACCAGGCAAATTTCTGTGCAAAGCTCCGTCTCGACGCCGGACTTATCAGTGGTCGCATACTTGAAAGAGTTTCATATGAGGACTTTTCCAAGCTTCACGTGTCGTCGTGACATCCGTGAAAGAAAGAATGGGTGCTTGTTTCGTCAGAAAGGTTTTCAAAATTTCTGTTGTGTTCATCAATTTCGACTGGCTCCTTTCACATTACTGTCCACTGCACCGAACTTTTATTGTGTTGTCTGTTGGTTATATGCGAGTGTCAAGGACAATGGCTTGATATTTGCCACAGAAGTTATATCCAGTGGTGAAAGTGTTTGTGATTTCTGCGATGAACAGCCTTCATTTTATTGTGATCAGCTGAATAAACAAAGAAGTAATTTAAAACCCACGAAATGTGATACTCTCAGCCATGTTCTTATGTAATGTTCAATGCAATGGTATATATTGCCGGACATATTCTTAGCAGTGTCTGGAAGATAGCAGTAACCCCTGTGGTGTAGGATAGTGACGCGATGGTGTTTGTGAGTGAGGTGTGACGGAATTGTGTACGACATGCTCGGAGACGATGGCAGCGGGGCTTTTTGATTAAGCGGCGGAGAGATGATGATATTGGCATGAAATGTCATGCGTGAAACTTTGGTCCACTGGAAGAAGAGAAAATTCGCGCGAAGGTATGCTTGGCCAAGGCCCTTATGAAGACCAACGGGAAGCAAGCACTAGTAAGAAGAAAAGAAGAAACATTTGACGATGAGTCTAACGAGAACGGGTTTGAGCAGGCTGGAGAGAAGATCGCTGGTGTCGCACGATTGCAGTGTCTGGTTCCGGAACCCAATGCGTGAAGACTGAAGACAGATAAGGCCAGGATGCTCCAGCTGCCTAGGGTGTACCCAGAAGTACGTGGCCTCCCAGAGTTGCAGCCGTGACTGTTCTAGGTGATGTCCATGATGTCCGAGCCTCAACTTTGGTTCCAAACCGCTCGTGGAGGGCGTAGCATTCCCCTCCTCGGAACGAGCCAGTGCCTGAAAACAAAAGCAGTAGTGAGAGCGAAAGCTACCGGGTCTTCTGACAAGCCTCAATGTGCTGGTCATCATGTGACTTCGGCTACTGGGACATCGCCTCAATCCACCAAGCCATTCCCGCCATCAACACCACTGATGATTGTTTACGTTCTGAAACATTACAGCGGGAAAGTAGCACTATGGGGCTTGTGGACCGCTATTGCAACTTTCAACGTCAATCCAATATTTGCCTTTACTGTCCTTTTAAGAAGCACACTCACAGCGCTGAACTATGAATAATTTATTGAATGCAAACAAATTTCATGGCACGCATCGAAGCAAGAGAAATATAACTTGATGAAATATAGTGATAAAGAAACTTCATGACAACACGTTGCCAAAAAAGACGTCATCTGCGACATAAAATATGTGACGTGATCACATAAGAAAATTTTTAAAGCCTCATAATCACTGTTTCAGGTGAGATACAAATTGTCAATCACCCCTGGCTCAGCATAACAGAGAGTTGAGCTAAATGGTACATATACATTCCTAGGCTCACAGTTTCAATCATGCAAGAGGCCCTACTGAGCGATCTGGAGGCGACCAAACTTCACGAGTGTCTGGACTACCAACGCAAGTTCTTGTTGCATGTGTTCTTAATAACTGTTCATTCTCCTCTTTCTTTCTTCCTTTCGTTCTTTCTTTCCCCTGTTCTTGTTTCTCTATCTTATCTATTATCCCCATTTTCCACACCCTACGTGTAGGTTAGCTAACCGAGCCAAGTTTGGTTAGCCTCGGTGTCTTTCTTCTTGTTTTCTCTCTCTACATGGACAGGGTGTGCAAATGTAGACACATGAAAGAAGTCAGGGCACCATGCAGCAATAGGTTCAAGGGAGTTTCATTGCTGGGATGAAGTTCTTTTTTTAAATCCAAAGAAGCTTATGGTCGAGCCTATTTTTTGCCTTCGCCGTCAACACCGCCACTGAGCATGCCGAATAGCTGTCACAAGCTGCCGAAGAGACCACTGGAGGCGTCACGGCAGCTCCGCTTGATGAACAATACCTGGTCGCGCTCACCTCATTCTCCCAGTAATGCCACCATCAACGCCACAATGAGAGCCACCGGCAGCAATGCTCCTGCTACTGCAGCGTAGAGGGGGGCTTGAGCAGCTGCCACGAAACGGCAGCGGCGGCAAGTGACCCCGAACTTTGAGCGAAAGAAGCGGAAGCACGCCATAAACGCCACCTTCCAGAATCCACGCAAGCAACAAGGATTTGCGCATGGCCTCCAAGATCGGCTGGCCGGCGGCGAAGGCAGCCTTCCAGAAACCTTTTTTGAGGAAACATGGAAAGGTACATTGAGAAAGTAATGCTGCATTATGAGACTACGCTCTAGGAGAACCCCTTTGTACTCAGCGGGGACATTAACGTTGATGCCGTGAATGACGACTGGTTAGTGCAGCACATGGTGTCTCGTTACGCTCTCCGTTGTATTTCGTACTATGATAAGCACCCTCAGGCGAGCTTGCATGGACCTCGTATTCTCCAGCTTCAAGCAACAACCACTGCAGCAAGATCAGCAAGAATACCTTTTCTTGATTCTACACTTTACGGACCACAAGGCCGTCATATTCAAAGAGAAATGCAACCATGAACTTAGTCATCTACGGTAAAGGGCAACTCTTCATGAAACTTCGACCCATAAGCTGCTTCGCATGCTACTTAGGGTTATCTTTACCAGCAGATATGGCTTTTTTTAGATGCGAAGCATCTCTTGCTTGGATCTATGTCCGGCGGCGGCGGCGTCGCACTCACACTACCCATGCGCAACTTCTTTCCTACGCTCCCTCCTCTCGTCTTGAAATGCCGACGCTGGGAGCGTCTGCTAACCTACCCTTGCTTTCCTTTCTCTTCTAGGCATTCCTCCCTGCGGCGTTTACACCACAATTGCACATGCGTGCTGCCTCTCTTCTCATACACTCCCTCTATCTCCTAGCAACGCCGATGCCAGCAGCGTCTACCTACGAATTTCTTGAAAAAAGCGACTGCTCGCGCTGTACAGCCGTTCACTGGACACTCCGTATATATATGCACTGGTTCTTGACCTCCAAGGTAGTGCCGATGAGAGATTTCTCCTGTGCATTGTTGAACAATAAAAGCTAACAGTTCTGCCGCAAGAGCGAAGTAATAAATGCGATAGTAACAAGTTTGAATCTCTCGCGGAGAATGGCAAGCATATTGAAACGAGCAGTGCGTTGTTCACGCACAAATGATGCGCGAAACTTACTCACAGGTACAGATGAACGCGAACAAGTGTTGCCGCTGTTACTTCGCTGTGTCTGAAAAGCGCGGCCTTTTCGCAAACTGGGACGGTGCAGTGAGGGAAGGGACTTTTGTGTGCCTGGTAACTACAACGCAATCGTTTCGGTGAAAACCCAAGGCACACAATTCTCACCGCGAGATGAGCGCACTGTTCGTTTCCCTTCCTTCCTCGAAGCGAAGTACGCGTGGCAGATGAGCGCGCGTCGCTTCGCCGCGACCAGTGGGGCGCCGGAGCTAGGGAGCCTTCGTGTGTCCCTCGAGGCTCCCTAGCCCGTAAAGGTTTTTTTTTGGTTTTTCTTTTTCTTTTGTTACCCCGTGGGGAAGGTGCACGTACATTGAACACTCAATTTTTTGTAGTAAAGCTTAGACTTTCTCTTTTTCATAGGGCAGGGCTCGAGTTTTGTAATTATAGAGTGAGACAAGTCTTACAACCATTGGTGTCGGAAAGACATGGTTAAAAAGACTGTGAAGTGTTCAGGATGTGGGGTTGGTTTTAAAGTGAACCCAAGTGTAGAAGCGGAAGGAGAAGAGGCTGACGCGAAGTGTAGGCAATGTGAGGTCGAGGAAAAAATGGAGAAAATGATGGTACCCAGAGTGACATGCTGATGAGAATCACCGAGCTCGAAACTGCGTTGGCGACAGAGCAAGAGAAAACGAGGGCTATGGGAGAAAAGTCGAAGTCCGCCGAGTAAGTACTAGCCAAGGTAAACAGAGGAGCGGCCTACGGAGAGAATAGTAGGAAACCGGCAACCAGAACTGTGGAGAAGAAAGAGCAAGCAAGTTTGGAAAAAACAGGTTCAGTCGGTTCATTTGTCGCAAGGCCCAGCTTCAGCGAAGTAGTGGTGGGGCTGGGCGAGGACAAAGCAGCCGGCGTCACAGGTGCGAGTAACCACCAGGTGCAGGCACGCTCCAGCTGAAAAGTCACAGCATGTGATCATCGCCGGGGACTCGAATTTAAATCGATGCACAGAAGCCATCAAAGAGAAGGTAAGAGGTGACAAGAGGGTTGCAGTAGGGGCGTTCCCAGGATGCAAGCTGGAAGCAGTCATGAGGCAAGCGAGCGCAAAGCTCAAAACTAGAGCTGATAGATGAAACCTCGTGATAATTTCAGGCGGTTTAAACAATGTCTTAAATGAAGATACAGCAGGACTAGCAACTACACTGGCGAAAGGCGTCGATGACATGCGCGCCACTTCTGAGGTACAGGTAGCGATATGCACAATACCAGAGGTACCGGTGCGTGATAGCAACCTGCAAAGAGCGGTTGTCAACGCAAACCAAGAGATATGGCGGAAAAGTCGAGAGAAAGGCTTTGAGGTGGTGGAAATAAACAGAGAGGTGCATAGGTGGGGTGGTTTTCAACGAGACAAAATTCACTTCGGTGGGCGGCTAGGTCACGAGGTGGGTTGGCGACTTGCAGGACGCGCAGTAGCTTTTTTGGGGGGCAAGCGGGCCCTTCGGGGTGCAGAATAGCCAGTAACGAGGAAAACAATCAAGGAGACTCTTTGACAGGTGGTATAGACAAATACGATTCCAAAGGGGCACCAGTATCTAAGACAGGTAGAATCCGGGGTAGAAATAAACGTAGCCACGAGCGCCGAGTCATTTCAGACATAGGGTATATTAACATGCATGGCGATAGGAACAGGCTGAAGTGGGAAGAGATAGATAAACAGCTTAGGGAGGAGAGGCCGATGGTATACGGTTTTGTAGAAACACATCTCAGGGACATGGAACAACCTCCTAACAATGCGGACTACGCGTGGGAATATTGTAATAGAACAGAAGGCAGCAGAAAGGGGGGTGGTATTGGGGCATTCATTCATAAAAGTACAGACTGGCAAAGGGTCAAGCAGGAGTGCAAGGAACATTTATGGCTAAAAGGGAAAGTGGCAGGGCAAATGACACTCCTTGGTTTCGTGTACTTGTGGACGGGAGCAAAGGCCAGAGAGGAAAACCAGGCAATGGTAGAGTGTATATCAAAGGACATTCAGGAGTTAGGAGGAGAGTGCGAGATAATTATACTAGGAGATATGAATGCACACATAGAAGATATAGATGGATATACTGA